CTTGCCTCCGCCCCGCCCTCCCCTGCTCCGGCCCTTGCGGTTTGTCCTCGATTGCGTTTAACTTTTTATCAGCCCGGTTCTGGCCCGGCGCAGACGGCCGCGTGAAAGATGAAGTCATCTCGAGATTCGAGGTTCGATACCATCGAATGCGTCGCGGCTCGAGTTACGCGGGGTGTGGCCGGCGCGCTGCTGGAGACCCTGGAGCGGAGGGCTTCGAGCGCCCCTCCCCGGCGCCTACCCGGCCCGGCCGCGCTGTGGCTTCCAGGATTGTGAAGGCGACTAATGGCTGCCGTTTACGCCGTACAAGTCCCCTCGCCGGAGGTACCTCTTTTTCTTTGCCGTCCGCTGCGCCCGTCTCGTCTCCAACGTCCGGGGCGGTTGTAATGGGATCTCCGCGTTGCCCTTGGTGGGCTGCTGCCGCTGCGGTGCGCGCCCGCGGCGGGGCCAGTGGGGCGAAAAACTGTGATTCAGCGCTGCTGCACGGCTCCGGGCGGCTCCGGGGGCACCGCGACCGCAACGCCACGCGGCCAACGCTGTTACAAAAAATAAAATCAAATGGTGTATCCCGCCGAGTGGCTCATCATGTCCGGCCGACTGACGATGGGCATTGAAGGGATTGAATGAACACGCGGCTGCTGCTCCTGCTCCGTATATTTCTTTCTCGGCCGTCGGATAAAATCTCTGTTTGGACTGTGATTTCCTCTCGTCCGGGTGCGCGCTGCATGCTCGCCCGCTATGCGTGCGCCGTCATGGTCTCTAAGTGTAGTACCCCCCGTCCGCCGCCCCCCTACCAGTCCTCCTCCTCCTCCTCCGGCTCCGGCCCGCCTCGGCGCCGCCATTTGGTGAGTGGCATTAACGCCCCGTGCGTTCGCCTGCGCCTACAAGAAGACCTCCCGACGGGCCTGGAGAGTGCAGCGGCCCCGCAGAGAACACAAAGATGTCGCGTTCCTGGCCCTGAATTAGCTCCCCCCGTCTCCTCTTCCCCCGCGCTTTCTGTCACGCCCCCGCGCTTTACTCTCCCCTTTCCCCCCGCATCGCGCACGACGCTTGGCTGACGGTAGACAAATCACTCTGTTGCGAGTTTGAGGACCGGCAGAGAGGGCACAGCGGCACGGCACCGCGCGCATCGCGCACGACCGCGCCAGCCAGCCTCGCGTCAGCCCGCGATGAAGCCGTTGCGCGGCGGCCGACCGTCGCGAGAGCCTCGCTGTCGCGCTGTGCCTCTGTCGGCCGCGCCCCCGCCGGCGGCCATAACGTCACCTGACGCCCCCCCCCC